TATAATTATTTAATAAGATAGCATATTCCAGTGCTCAATCTGATTGGCTCGCCAATTGAGAATCTACTGGATACGTATGCAAATATATTTATTGATTTTCTGTATTCACATATTTTTATTTGAACAGATACAAATGCTCGGCTATGACATTTCGTGGGCAGGCTTCAACATAATTGAGGTGATGAGCTCTTCGCGCTTCACATGTAAGCGAATCGGTTACCTGGCGGCTAGTCAATGCTTTCATCCGGACAGCGAAGTGAGTGCCATCCGAATCAGATGAGTAATGCAAATACTAGCTTAATGCAATTTCAGCTGCTGATGCTTACCACGAATATGATACGCAAGGACCTTAATTCACAGAATCAATACGATGCGGGCGTAGCTTTAAGCGGGCTCAGCTGTTTCATATCGCCAGACTTATCGCGAGATCTGGCCAATGATATCATGACACTGGTAGAGTGTATGAATCCGAAAGAGCAGCTCGATTTGTATCAATTATTTTGTCATTATAGATGAGCTCGACGAAACCGTATCTGCGCATGAAGGCTGTGCTAATGATGTATAAGGTATTTTTGCGCTATCCTGAAGCATTGCGGCCCGCGTTTCCCAAGCTGAAAGAGAAACTCGAGGATCCAGATCCAGGTGCTTTCCAGCCGCACGCCTACAGATATATATAGCTACTAAAGTAACCATTATATATTTTGCCAGGTGTACAATCGGCTGCTGTCAATGTCATTTGTGAGCTGGCGCGCAAGAATCCAAAGAACTATCTGCCCTTGGCGCCGGTGTTCTTCAAACTAATGACCACGTCGACCAACAATTGGATGTTGATTAAAATTATTAAGCTGGTGAGTATTTGCGGTGCCGCATTTGTAATTAGTTTTCAAAAAAGAAATTTGAAAAATTCTTTTGCTGTACAATAATTATACGAACTGAATATTTGTCTATCAACAAGTTAATTAACACAACTCCTACTCCTCCACTCCCTTACCTGTCCACAAATCGAAACATGAAAACCAAAAATGAAAAATATAAACCACAAAAAAAATGAATAAACAGTTCGCGAGCCTCACATCAATTGAACCGGCGCTGGGACGCAAATTGACTCAGCCCCTAATTGAAATTATTTCCAGGTTTTTATCGGCGCGCTTTTGTTAATTGAAGCAAGCAGCCATATATCAAGAAAATTATTTATAAATCTAAAAAACCAACATTAAACAGCACGCGCTTCAACTATATTATTTCTTAGTTTGATTTTCTTCTTTTCACTTAACGCATTTCTTATTTCCACTTCATTTGTATCTCAAGTTTCGCTTCAGTTCGTTAGATTCATCACTGTTTCTACTCACATATTCGCACAAAAAAATAAAATAAAATACAAAAAATTAAAATTAATTGGACAATTGTTGCTAGCCCAAAAAAAAAAAAAAAACATAATTTCAACTGTCAATGTTGTTATAGAAAACATGGCTCTCATGTTCCAATGCACACATTTATATATGTTTTTGCTGTCCAAAAAGAATATTCGATTTCATTAAAACATAAGAAAGTTTACCCAAAATTTATTTGCTTGCTAAAATCGCTTAGATTTAGGATCGGAATATTTAAATCATATGTATTTGCAAACAGCTGGCTGTGAGCTTTAACAATCCTCGCAATTACCTTCTCTTTTAAGGCAGAAACACATATGCAGTATATACAGTAGAATCCGGTTAAACCGACTCCGCTTAAAGCGGACTGTTCTTGAGACGAAGCAGATTACGTATCAATTCATTAAACATATGCATACTTTATGCTTTTTAATATATACCTATATTTTATTTTAATTTTTTTTATTTCTTAAACATAATAAAAAATATATATTTGATATTTTTTATTTTTTGCCCGTTCGAAAAATTTCCAGTGAGAGATATGCCAAATAGTCCTAGCCGATCTACATATGTATATATGTACATGTGTATGGCATACATGCTGTACATGTGTATGTAACTATGTATGTGTATGGGTATGAATATGTACATGTGTACATATACAAATGTTATTATTGGATCTTTTATCAATATTAATTTCAGCATATTAATTTTATTGTTGTTATTTTTTGTGATTTTAATGATCTTGTTTAGTTTTATGTACTCAATACAATCGTATGTATGTATATTGTGTATTATGGTATAATTTGTTGCTTGTTTCTTTTCTCTTTGCATATTTGCAGTTTGGCGCTTTAACTCCCTTAGAACCCCGGCTAGGAAAGAAATTAATAGAGCCACTCACAAATCTAATTCATAGGCAAGTTCTTATTATTTAACAAAAACAAAAAACAAAAAAAAAAAAAAACTCTGGAAAGACGAAAACAAAAACGAAAACAAAGAAGATCGAGAGCTGATTCATCCATGCAATATCATAACAAAGAAATACAGAACAACAAACAAGAAAAACGAAGAAAACATTTAATTTGCTTGTTTAATCTCTATAATAAAAAAAAATATAT